CCATGTAGTCTGATTAAGAGGTGGTATATCACAAGTGACTAAAGACAGGGAGAAAGGATCCCCTCCCGCGGGCAGCCTTTCATGGCTGTGATCTTCACTTAAGTATTGCCCAAGGATTATGTATTTACGCGTTTACGAAGCATAGCGTCGACCCAACCAATTGTAATAGGGTCAAAGCCTCTTTGGACCAGTGTCTTCGATATAAACCCATAGTCGGTATTATCGAAAGCACCTCGCTGTCTACGAAGGTACACAGATATTATAAATGACCTCGAAGTCGCTTTCGATTTTAGTAACCATACTATAAAGCTGAATCTGTCGATTTATTTTGACATAATCAAACTAAGTGTGATGTGAGGGATAGTAAGTGTTAAGTTTCTCCCTAATATGGAGGTCTAGCAGTCTCCCTAAATTTTTGAGAGTGATACTAGAGAGTGGGAGTGTTAAGTTACTCCCTAATAAGGAGGTCTAACAGCCCAAATTATAAGGATCAGGGGATCCTCCTCGGTGCCTCTTTACATTAGCGTTGGGAAAATCCCATCAGCATCTGCTGCTTTGAAGGTTTAGAAAGACTGCGGAGAAGACCTATACCATTGGAAGACTATTTTATAAAATTTTATGCAGATGGGAGGCGTCAGGCAGGGTCTCATTTCCGCCACGATTCCCTCTTCGAGAGTGTAATAAGTTTGTTATAGTCAGGGAGACAAGCCTTATACTCATACCATTGATGTGTCCTTTTTGTCCTGTTGAAATGCTTCCTAACAGTTTTGCCCTACAGATCCAGCTCCGCGTTCCACCAGAGAATCTCACGTTTCATTAGGGTGGAACCAGTAACTTTCTTGCCAAGGAAAGATTCCAGCAGGGCTTTGTTGAGCAGAACCGCTGCGACCTTCTTTCGATGATAGAGTTAATGGGGGTTGGCAACGAGTCAGCTCTTAGTTAATGCTGATGATCCGAGAGCGATTCTTCTTCCGAGACTTGCTTATTCCAAGTACAGTGAAACCCTCTTAGGTACCCACCCGCTTAAGTAACCAACATATCTGGGCACCGTGAATTTTTTAATGTAATCTGAAGAAAATCCCTCTCTTAAGTACCTCTCCGCTTATTTACCCAACCCGCCTAACTATCTAAATTTTTCGTACCCCATTTACCATTTTACTTATAATTTTCCCCTTTTAAGTGCTCTTTTAATTTTTTTTTAAATATTTACATATTTAGAAATTCAGTGGCAGCGCTACACAATCGATATTAATTGCCACCGTCAGTAACAGCATGCTAGTATCTAGTGGCTAAAAATTACCGTTGATCTTTTAGAAGTTGTTTCGCATTTGCTTCCAAATAGCGAATAAACACAGTTTGTTTTTATGTGAAGAAAACCGCAGCAGCTTCGGCAAAAAAATTTAAAAAAGTCAACGGTTGCAACTTGTTACACTAAAATCGAATGGGGTCACTTCTGAGAAAAAAACTTGAGATTTTGATGAAAACTTTATGAATTTTCAGAGTTCTACAGAATTGTAAGCTTAGGTTTATATGGTATTGGCAGGGAATGAACTGTATTTTAATTTAAAAATCTCAAAAATTAGTAAAAATAAGAATTTGGTCTAAAATATATGTGTGTGTATAAATATGCATAATCAATGAATTTTTAAAGAATTGAATTATTGTAAAAATTATATATTTTTTCATAAAGTTTTCCTTTATGTGTATATGTGTTTAAATAATGCTACGATCTTGGTTTCAAAAAACGTATACTTCATTAAATGTTCATGTTTTATTCAGGGATTTATTTCAGCCGTTCAGTGCATACATCGATTAACTCCACTTTTTAAAGAATCTTAAATTTCAGTGTCCAATCACTTGGTATAGTAATAAATTATTACGTTTATAATAACTTTATGTAACATACAATAGTACATAATATATATAACAACATTATTTATTTGATTATGTAATATAAATGGAATTTTAAAAGATCATGCACATTATTTGATCGCATCTCCCAACTTGTTGATGGAGTTAATCAATGTGTGCACTGAACGGCTCATTTATGTAAGTTAAAAGAAGTTGTAACTATGTACATCAGTAATTATGTTCGCTTAAGTACCCGCATTGAGGTACTTAAGCGGGTTATTTTAAGTACCCAACCCGCCTAAGTACCTCAAAAAGCTGACATTTTTCGTGAGGAACTTAAGCGGGTTTTACTGTACATCCGGAGATTGATCTGCTGAAGAGAGTGAAATGTAATTCCTCCTCCATGACGGCGGAACTTACTCCTTTCATTGATATTGGAGCTGTCCCACACGGTGTGATGAAAATTCGCATCTCCAAAAATACTGTACTGGCGATTCGTGCGTAGACAAAATTCTACGAGGTGCTTTACGTCACCTGAGAAGTAGGTGGATGCTAGGATAATTTCCTGGACCTCACCCACCGTCGACACCTTGACTACAACCGCTGAAAGGTCCCTGGAAATAAAAGGCGTAAGGGGTGTATTGCTGAGGTTGTCGTTAAACAAGAAGGCGGCGCTGCTCGTCCCCTCAAGCTGGTCGTGTTCTAACCTACCTAAACTACCCAGTCCTCTAACTTGGCTTTCGTTGTCTTACCTATCAATTCGGACCGATGCCTACGTGGCATGATGTAAGTTAGCCTGCAGAACTCTTATGGTGCCCATTGCTCTAGCTAAAACTCTCTTTTCCCTGGTATCACCAGTCAGTTCTTGTCGCCCGGCATTACTTGTGTTTGTTGGTTTTGAAGCCACGCCTTCTTGCACCCCAATGGCTGTTGAGGTCTCGGATTCAGTCAATATTGACGTATCAGGTAGCACCGTTGCTTGGCTGCTGCTGGGTAGTGATCTCAATCCTTGTGCCTAAGGCGACTCGCTAGCTACTCTGCGTCTGAAGAATCGGTTTTGGAGCTTTCGGTTTCTCGGCTGCTTCAGCTGTTATAACTTTATGCATACCAGGCGCCCCTGCTGGTAGATGCCCGCACGTCCAGTTCACTTTCAGCACGGACTATACTTTCTCTAGCTTACTCCGTAGGTTCGGTTACCTCCGCCACTTTCTGATGCTGATCTTTAGCTCTCAAAATGACTAATATGTGCCCATACCTGATCTTAGCTCAACAACGCACATAGGGGTATTTGACTGATTGAGGCGGCCAAAATTTTAGTTATGAAAATTTTAACTCAAAATGTTTAGAAACGACGAGTTACGATTTTTAAATTTTTAGATGCTCAAAATCAAGTAAATAGAGGTGTAGGACATAAACTTGGATATTATTCCACTAAAACAACGAAAATAAAGTTGCTTAAAGTTTGAAATCGATAGACTTATGTAGAAACATTGATACCTATGTATTCGTATCAGCGAGGAGAAGGTTTATATCTAGGTTATAATATGAAAAGGGTTGCCATCTGCTAGAAAATTAAATTAAATTAAGTTAAATGAATTACTACAATATGGGTATCAATCGAAATGAAAAGTCTTTATTTCTAAACAACATGTGGGAGGATTACCATCTGTATAAAAATTAAAATCCACTTTAATTCAAGGGAATTTGGTAACTGAAATATGTATAAAAATATGGGTGTCAGGCGAAAAAGTGTAATAAGGTTGTAGTTTGGAACTATGTTGAACAGGGCTGCCACCTGTTCAAAAATTAAATTCATTGTATATAATAGGTTAAATTAATTATAACAATATGGATATCATATATACATATGTAGGTTGGAACATGAGATGGTTTACCACCTGTCCAAAAATTTAATTCAATTAAGTTCAATGAATTACTACGCTAAGGGTATCAACCAAAATGGCTTTGAAAAGGTTTAATTTTCAGCTACATTTAGCAGGATTGCTGTTGCTTGTTTAAAAAGCAAATTCAAAATAACATATGATTGGAAAAAAACACTATATTGAACAACCATTATGTTTAGTTTTATTGAAATAGTTTGCACCTAATCTAACAAGCAGAAATTCCATACACTCATCGAATTAATTACAATATATTGAAATGTCTATTAATTTTCATTTTCTAGTGCATCTTTTGTGACTTCTTAGAATTGATAATTTTAAATATTTATAAATAAAATCTAATACGTGCCTACAGTGTACGAATATCTCGAGATACCCTTCAAATTATCTGAATACAAAATTCCTCAAAAAGCGTTAGCGCCGTTTCCGAGAAACATTTGGATATATATACAGACATATTTACAAGAATTGGTTGTTTAAAGTAATGAGATACATATGTACATATATGTACTTTGAGATAAAATTCTTACGATTTTATTGCCTTAAAAATTTATTTGCAAATTTTTTCCAGAACTTACCGTTAAGTAGAAATTTTTTAAATTTTACTGACAACTGTTTTCTCTCTGTAACTTTCCAAATTTTTAAATTCAACCCCTCCACCCCCACCATTATAAGTATTTCAAATGGTCACTGCTCAGCCAACGCACATTCTCAGCAGTTTTTTTTTGTTTACAAACTGCGAACTGTCAAGAATAACACCCAAGCAAAAATCTCAGCGCCGTTGAGTGGTGTTACATAACTTTATGACTGCAGTTCATTTCTCTAATCCATTAAAATTAGCAAAAATACGATATTCTTCCTTGTAGCTCTGCCGGTGCCAGTGAATATTATATTTGTATTAGACTATGCGGATTATATGGTATTTACCCGCTTTAAATTATCCCATTTAATATAATTTAAAAAATTAGCACACGATTGAAAGCAGTTTTTCTACTTCGGCTTGTATTAAACACATCTAAAAACCAAACAAACAATTAACAACACGGCACTTTGACAGTAAAGTTGTCAAACTATCGATGGCACTAAAATAGTATCGATAGTTTCAATTTTTTTGACTATCGATACTAATTGATAATTTTTTCTTATTGTCGAGCTACAAGCTTTTTTGTAGCTAATAGTATTCGATTTTAATGCGAAATAATTTTGGACAGCGAAGTACTAGTAGCAGTGAAAAATTACGCAATGAAGTGACCTTTAATAATTATTTTCCTTCTTTATTTACACTACTTTGTTAAGTCAGTGTTGCGTACAAGATATTTATAGATGTATTAATGTTGGTTCGAGTCTCGAGTACAATTGATAATCGATACATTTCATATGTCCCTGTGTACACGTAGTTCTGTTTACAATTCAATATATACAAATTTGTTTTAACAATTCAATGAAACAATATAAAAGGGGAGTATTGGCAGCTATCAAGTGTTCATTGGCAATGGCGCAAGCTTGTGAACGGCACGTCGAATGGTTGAGTTTTATGTTTTAATGTCTGCAACACGGACCTTGCCATCTTTTCCAGATATGGCATTGACAACTTTGCCCAAAAGCCATTTCTGTGGAGGCAGATTGTCGTCGTGAACGAGGACAACCGTGCCAACCTCGTTATTCCTCGATATTTTGCACTGGTCTGGTCCACTTTGCCTTGGATTGTAGCCCCAAGATATAATCTCTTTGGAAAGCAGACCAAAAACGTGCCTTCAGTGTTGAGATGTGTTGCCATCGCTTCGAATACTGCAGAGTTAAATCTTTGGGGGCGGGCTCCGGTAGTGCCTTTAAAGACTCTCCGATTAGAAGATGAGCGGGAGTTAGCATTTCTCCATCGTTGGGGTCTTCTGTCTTTGCCGTGATGGGCCTCGAATTTAAAACGGCTTCGATTTCCACTAGCACAGTCGAAAGCTCTTCGAAAGTGAGATTTTCTTCTGCAACGGTGCGGTACAAGAGATGTTTGGTGGATTTTACCGCGGCTTCCCATATTCCTCCGAAATGTGGGGCGCGAGGAGGGATGAATTCGAATTTGATGCCGCGATCCGCGACGAAATTTGCGATTTCCGTTCGACTGGCATTAGAATAGTACGTCCCTTAGTCCCTTCAGCTTCGCGTTGGCGCCTACAAAATTTGTGGCGTTATCGCAGACGATCTTCTCTGTCATACCTCTCCTCCCGATGAACCTTTTAAGGACAGAAATAAATGCATTAGTTGAAAGATCAGGTACGGCTTCAATGTGAACAGCTTTAGACGCAAAACACGCAAACACAGCGACATAAGTTTTATAAGGCGGTCTACCACGTATTCTATAAGAAGTGTAGATCGGCCCACAAAAATCGACTCCTGTAACTAAGAACGGTCTAACAGATACAAGTCGATCTCTAGGTAAATTTCCCATAACTTGCTTTATCAATTTAGGTTTGTATTTAAAACAATGGACGCAATTTCGCACTACTCTTCGAGCCACTTCTTTGGCGTTGATCAGCCATACCTTCAGTCTCATTAAACCAACCAATGCCTGTGGTCCAGCGTGACAATTACTTAAGTGAAAATACGTTACATATAAACTTGCAATGCGTGATTTTGGCAACAATAGTGGAAATCTTGTATTGTATGGAATTGGTGCGTTTAAAAGTCGACCGCCAACTCGCAAAAGGGAAAACGTTCTCCCGCATTCCTCATATTCTTGTAAAACAGGACTTAACTTTTGAATTTGGTTTTTCGACAACGACATTCCAGCCTTCAGTTGTTTAATTTCTTCAGAAAATTCTACGTGCTGAATTGTTTCTACTATTTTGAATAATGATAATTCCAGCTCTTTGGCTGTTAAAGCTTTGTTTTTCATATTTGTAGGTTTAATAAATCTATAAATATATGCGACTATGCGTAACACTTTTGAATAAGAGAGCAAGACTCAATAAAATAAATAATGTTAACAATAAATAAAATAAAATGTTAACAAGCCACAATAACATTGACAAATACATAGTTTAGGAAGAGCCTGCCTGAAACTATACAAAAAAGCAAATAAGCAAATGGATGTATAGAATTGGCAACAACAACCACGCTGTCGAGTTTAAATAGCGGCAAATCAGCTGCACTTGATAGTAGTTGGTTGAATAAGGGAAATGAATTAGCAACAAGAGTTTACGGGATGTGCATAGCTCAGTGGTTAACGCTTCTGACTTTGAACATCGAATTCGCAAGTTCGATCCCTGCTGAAGTCTAGAAAAAAGAAGTCTGATGAGGAGATGTGGTGATCTCCGAAATAGTGCTATAATTTCTACCGCTTAGACTTTGTTGCTTTTTCAATTTTTCCTAATAAACAATCGTGGTACAAAGCTCAATAAAAATATTAAAAATAAAAAATGTGAACGAGCCACAATAACATTGACAAATACATAGTTTAGGAAGAGCCTGCCTGAAACTATACAAAAAAGCAAATAAGCAAATGGATGTATAGAATTGACAACAACAACCACGCTGTCGAGTTTAAATAGCGGCAAATCAGCTGCACTTGATAGTAGTTGGTTGAATAAGGAAAATGAATTAGCAACAAGAGTTTACGGGATGTACATAGCTCAGTGGTTAACGTTTCTGACTTTGAACATCGAATTCGCAGGTTCGATCTCTGCTGAAGTCTAGAAAAAAAAAGTCTGATGAGATGTGGTGATCTCCGAAATAGTGCTATAACTTCTACCGCTTAGACTTTGTTGCTTTTTAAATTTTTCCTAATAAACAATCGTGGTACAAAGCTCAATAAAAATATTAAAAATAAAAAATGTTAACAAGCCACAATAACATTGACAAATACATAGTTTAGGAAGAGCCTGCCTGAAACTATACAAAAAAGCAAATAAGCAAATGGATGTATAGAATTGACAACAACAACCACGCTGTCGAGTTTAAATAGCGGCAAATCAGCTGCACTTGAACGGTTTATAGTTGGTTGAATAAGGAAAATGAATTAGCAACCAGAGTTTACGGGATGTACATAGCTCAGTGGCTAACGCTTCTGACTTTGAACATCGAATTCGCAGGTTCGATCCCTGCTGAAGTCTAGAAAAAAGAAGTCTGATGAGGAGATGTGGTGATCTCCGAAATAGTGCTATAACTTCTACCGCTTAGACTTTGTGGCTTTTTCAATTTTTCCTAATAAACAATCGTGGTAAAAAGCTCAATAAAAACATTAAAAATAAAAAATGTTAACAAGCCACAATAACATTGACGAAGAATTTTTTTGTTCTAATTTTATTACTAAGGCGTCTAATAAATGCATGGCTTTTAGTTCTAAAAGAAAAAGTCAGTAAAGACAAGTCTGTTTTGTATAATTTCTGATTTTAATTGCTCACCTTCTTTTGCACCAGAGCAACTGCCAAAAACTTCCAGCGGTAAAAAGTTACGAATTGGCACAGCAGAAATGTAAAATTTTCTCGCCATAATAAAAAGTTTTTTCAACATGGAACTTTTCTACTAATTGACATGAAATTACTATCTCAACGCTCGGAGCGCTGCCACTGAGGGCCTTTGCCAACTGATAAAAAAAGAAAGACCAAATAAAAGTTTTGAGATTTCTCGTTGTGAATACGAATGCCATAGTTTGTACCTAGCTCGTGGGACTACGCAAAATTTTGACAGCTTGTAAATATGTAGGCGGTAATAAAGAGTCAAAATCAAAATGGAGAAAAGAACAAAAAGCGTACGTCAGTTGTCAGTTATAAAATAAATCCAATTTATTTGCGAATATCTGTTTATTCTATTTATTGAAAGGCAACCACGCGGAAAAGCTTGTGTTAATTATATTGATAAATTCTCAAGTAACATAAAGTCTACAAAAGAATACATTGCTTGTATTACCATCAATACGCCATGTAAAATTTTAGCAACACACTAAAATAAAGCTTTCGCACGAGCGTTTGTTTGGTTTTTCAACACCATTTATAATTTTCTTTTAATAAAATCACGATTTGTCAAATGCTTAAATTTATTTATCTAATAGCTGTACGCTGCCACGCTTTGCTGTGGCATATTTCTGTTATATGGACGATAAATTATTAACGAAACAAGGCATACGTTTCATATGTGTTTGGTTATGTAATAAGTACTCGTGTGCACACAATATTTGTTATTTTTCCATTGTCAGCATAGATATCAAGGATATCTGGTTTGCCGGTACACGCAACATCTGAGAAGCAATCCGCATCTAAATCTAAACCATACTTTTCAAAAGTTCGACCTGGAGAATTATTGATTGTGATTCCGAATGTCAATCGAATTGGGAATTGCAATCTTTTAAATTGAATCATCATATTGAATGGAATCATGGAAATTCTTCACCTTTGAAAGGACACGTTAAAATCTTTGCTTACATTACGTTCTTCATCAATTTCTTAACTGCGAGTCGCATTCCGCTGCAGAGTTTTCGCTGATTAATATTCCGAAAAATGATAATTGGCACTCCTATTTTTAATTTCGGTATGTGGGGTCTCCCTGGAAGATCAATCGAGTTCAAAAATTTCGATGGATGGTCTTTTTCCACAACGGTATTTATCGACGTATATGCTATTTCCTCACGTTGAATGCTGGATTGAATAACATTAGTGGTATTCACAAAAGTGGGCAAGTGGTCTGGCAGTCTGGTAAAAGAGCAGATCAGCTCAAGCAACGACTGTTGTCAGTACCACTATTATTTAGTTGATAGACCTCCTTATTCTTCGCAGCAAGAATAGCCCGTTCACTGAGCCAATCGCGATTCCTAATATTAATTTTCTTAATAAAGAAACATTCTTTCGATCAGTTCTCCTTTCGATGTTTCTAATTTACAAAAATCGTCAGGCCATAAAATTCGTGTTAATCTCTCATTGACTGGCAGCTTTGCGTTCCCAATGTCCAGTTATTTTCGCGCGAATACATCAGCTGCAGTGTATGTATGTTCGTCTTGTCGCAATGTTGACTATTTCAGGCAAGAATTTATCTCTCGTGTTAATCGAGAAGCTACAGACAATGTTTTCGTAAAATCTCCTGCGAGCAATATCAGTGCATTCCCGAATGGTTGAACGTTTCCACGCAAATCCCGCAACAATGGATCAAAAGCCTCAAACGATTTTTTATGTGCCATTGTGCACTCATCCCAAACAATGAATTTAAAGTTTTGTAAAACTTTTTAGATACCGGATGCTCTGGAAATATTGCACGTGGGAGTTTCGATGATTTATATTTCAATGGCAGCTAAAGAGCTAAATTGGCAATGCTTCCACCTGGTATTTAATAATGTCGCAGCAATTCCAGACGAAGCGATAGCTAAGGTAATGTAATTTTTTGATCGAACCGTTGCCAGAATCCATCTGATAAGGAATATTTTCCTAGTTCCTCATGGCGCATCCAAGAAAATGGTCCCCCAACTCCGTCATTTATCATTTGCATATTCTTCTTCTACTTTGGCTTTGTAACCGCCTAAGCCATTTTGGCCGAGCTCCACAAAGAACGCCAGTCATTTCTCTCTGTGCCAACTTGGTCTCTCCATTGCAATGGGTGCTTCCTATTCGTCTGCTACCACCATCAGCTTGCGAGTTGAATTCTTTTACACCTGGAACTTCGGTTCCTATTGAACGACATGTCTAAGCGAGCGGAGCCGCTCTATATTCATTCGCTGCACTATGTACATTTAGTTGTAAAGCTCATACAGCTCATCGTTCCATCGTCTACGGCAATCCCCGTCGCCCATGCGTAGAAGCCTGTATATCTTCCGTAAGATCTTTCTCTCGAGTACTCCAAGAGCTGCCTCATAAAATGTTGTCATTGTCTAAGCTTCTGCCTACTCAGTCCAAAGCAGCACTTGTTGGCAAGAGTAATTCTGCGTGGGTTTTCCATGCTGATATTTTTATCGGTGATAGTGCTGGTTCCCTAGTAAATGAAATTCTCCACTTTCCCGAAGTCCCGAAGACTGTCAACAGTGACGTGGGTTCCAAGGCGCGAACGCGGTGACTGGAGATACTTCGTCTTGTCCTCGTTTACCACCAGGCGCATTCGCTTTGCTTCCTTATCCAGCTTGGAAAAGGCAGAAGAGTCTTCGCGATTTTTGTTACCGTTGATGTCGATGTCATCGGCACACGCCAGAAACTACACGCCCTTGTAAAAAAATGTTCCTACGTGGTTCCGTGCTGCAGCTCTTATTATCTTAACA